GGGACAGCGCAGGAGGGGAAGACCCTCTATGAGATGGATTGATTCGGTGACTGGGGTAATCAGGATGGGTGTGTCAGAGGCGGTGCGGTTGGCGCAGGATAGAGCAGGGTTTAGGCTGTTGTGCATAGAGTCGCTATGAGTCGGAAATGACTCGAGGGCACCTAACAACAACAACAACAACAACAACAACAACAACAAACAACTTATTACAAAGTATATGCAGACTTAAAAATACAAGAATAATGTGAACTGTTACTGTCATTGAGTTAACTGGGATTAGAAGACGTGAAAACATAATTGAAAGAAAATTGGATATTATTGAAAGCTTATTAGCTACAAAATGTGTAAACTTCTTGGCATGCTCTATCAGTCACAATCTGGTCTCTGCTTCATTTTCTAATCACATCTGTCACCTCCCTTCCCCATCTCCAACTACTAACCCTGCTAACGGAGTTCTCCACTGCTGTTATTTATATGACAGTTAGTGCTTAACTGCTGAGTAGTGAACAGTTTCATTAATGTAAGTAGTGTTTCAAAACAAAATTAAAATATTACGTTACCCCAGTGAACACAAACAAATTCATACATTTTTGGGTTGTTTATAATTTTTTCCCAAGTTTCAATTATTTAATAAAATTCAACTTTTTCTTTTATGAGTATTTTAAAATGCTAAATTATTTAACTCTGAAGTGATTAATGGGGGAAATTTTATAATGGAATAAATGTGTTTTCTCCTATTAATTACTATAATACACTGACAGGACTATCATGTTTTGAGTAAAGAACTATCAAGTAAATAAGCAGTCTTTAGTAAAGGAAGGAAAACAGTGATTTCATAAAAAGATCCTCAAGAATTAAAGAAAAGGATTAATAAGACTTCTCAGTTCATTTCTAAAATTGCATTGATAATTATGTTATTCCAAATTCTGCTTTAGATTAGTTTTCATTTTAATGTCCCCCTTTTAGACTATGTGTAAATACTCTGTATTTCATGTGAATCTTATTTTATTCTAAATGTTTCATGTCTTTGAACTTCATAAAAACATGCTTCAAATTTAATACAAATACAGATGGATGGAATGTCTCTCATACTTTGTAATAATCTATATAGGTTGAATCCACACAGAGTATGATAAGGATCCTTGGACTCTCTGCAACCTTACCCAACTACCTCGATGTTGCTGCATTTTTACATGTTAATCCCTACATTGGACTTTTCTTCTTCGATGGCCGTTTTCGACCAGTACCCCTTGGACAGACATTTTTAGGGGTTAAAAGTGCAAATAAGGTATTTTTTTTTTTATCCTTTGTAAAATTTGGTTTTGTTTGTGTATTGTTGAATAATAGTTAGAGTTTACTTAGACTCTGACAGACCATTTCTGAAGTATTACATAAATGTCATAGACAATATCATGCTTTTTAAAATGTGTAGCAAATTAATTCCTCCTCCAATCAATTACTAGCCAAATGTTTACTTTGTCTTTTTCAATGCATTTTTTTAGTATTCTCAGCCATTATTGGTCTCAAAATTATTTTTACATTGTTTAACACCACTTTGAATTAATAAGAGATGTTAACTAAATTGTATATATTCATGTGCATTTCATTTTAAAAAGAAATTAAAATGCCTGTTATGGAATTAATAATAATTCTATAACATCTATTAAGAAAACTTACTTTTTTAATAGTCTTATAAAGGTTATGTATACAAAAGGCATTTATAATGTTCTATAAGGTACTTTAAAATTTATTAAATTCCTTAAACAGTATTAGTATAAACCATTTACATTATTAGCCTTAGCCTAATTAATTGCTATCAAGTTGATTGTGGTGCATACCAATCCTCCATTTGATTTCCAATACAGTAGTATACTTTTGACATGATGAGAGACTGTATTACTTGTCTTCTGTTATCAGCAGTTCAACCCTTGATTTACTGTGCCACCAGGCAGTGTATGCTAATTAGAGTGTCTATTTTAGATTTTTACTTTATACTGTTAATGAAAAGATACTTTGCTTAAAATTTCAACATTTATCATTTTATTAAAGAATGCATTTGTTTCCATAGAAGATACCTTTAAGACATTCACAGACCATTTGACCTCTTTACTTAAAGGAGATCAAGATTGAAAATATCACTAAGTCAACTTAGCTTTCTTATGTATTACAGTATTTCTCATTTCAAAAACCACCTCATTAGTAAAACAAGACTCTTTCTGCCCTGCACTGTTATAAATACACTATTCATATAAAATATACGAGAAATGCTATCAGTTAATTTGTGTCATCTACACTGCAGAAAATTCTTTTGAACTGTGTGGCACCATTTCAGATTTATGTATAAGGGGATAATTTACAATATTATAATAGTTACAAGATGCATAGTTTAACCTTTATTAATTTTTAAAATGCCTTCTAACATTGCTCCTTTCCAATATATCTGTAACGGATGACTTTTTTTTTATAACTGATTGCATTTATTAATGATACTGTTGTTGGAAAATTGTCACTCTCAGAAAGTAAGTGTTCTAAAAGTATTTGTATGAGTTATTTTACATAATATATTCAGTTGAGTTATGCTTGGTTTTATGGGTTGTTATACATTACATATTTATATTCTATTTGTTTTAGCATTCTATTTAGTCTGAAAAAAGTAAAAGATACAATGTAATCATCAGAGTTTTATATGTAGTTACAAGGTTTATAATTGCTTATTAATTTTAACATTTTAAAAACTTTTTAAGGCCCAGCAGCTGAATAACATGGATGAAGTGTGTTACGAAAGTGTTTTGAAGCAAGTAAAGGCTGGGCATCAGGTATATTCGATTTTCCTTATCTTATTTTCAGAGATGGCTTAAAGATAAAAATATTAATATTTAAGCTGTTACACTTTTTTTTCCATCATGAGATAATTACTCAGATTTTTTTCTTAGTAATTCTTGGCTCAGAGATAAACCAGGTAAGTCACAAAAATATTCATAGGATGTATTAATCCGATATTGATAAGAGTTGTATAAGTTTGTTTGCCATCAATATTAACTAGGTAAAAGAAGATCTCATCTTTGACATTTTTAATTTTATTTTTCAGAAAAATTACTAACATTGATTTCACACCTCAAAAATGTCCAGTGAACTATTTTCTTACATAATTGTAACATTTTGAGTGTTACATTATTCCTACTTTTTCATGAAATAGTATCAGCCAAGTTATACACACCTTTTTTTCTTTGTATTTTTTTTTTGAGTTGTGTAGCCCTTTATTAGCAACTAAAATAGAAGGTATCTGTTTCTTTGTATTTTAATGTATTTGGAAATAAGACAACCTTATTTTTAAACTTCCCATCTCCAAACACTCGTATTTTGAATGTTAATAAAATTCTTACATTAATATTTGCTTATATAGTACGTTCTTTATGTTGTTCTATAATTTTGTGGTTGTTTATGAAGTGTTTGATTTTATTGTATTGCATCTTTTTCTACATTGTTTTCTATGACAAAGTGTAAAATTTAAAAAAATTGCGGCCCTTTTAATTTTCTTTTCAATTTTTAAAAAATTTTTTCAAAATACCCTTTCCTCAAACCCTTGGTAATTATCTGTGTGAGCTTACTTACTCTTTATGGTTCATGTAAATGAAAAGTACAACATTTGTTCTTTTGTGGCTTATTTCCCTTACCATAATATTCTCAAGTCTCAAGTTTCATCCATATGACAGTAGCATGTACCATAATTTCTCAGTCCATTTGATTGTGGTTGGACATTTGGACGGTTTCCATGTTCTTGCGAATGATTGTAAATAACACTGCTATGAACATTGGTGTACAAATCTCCACTTATGGCTCAGTTCTAATTTCCTTGGGGTATATTCCAGCATTGGAATAGCTGGGAAATATGAGTTTCTGTGTTCAGCTTTGTGAAGAAAGGCCAAACTGCCTTCCAGAGTGGTTATAACAATTTACAATTGAATCAACAGTGTATAAGATTTCCATTCTCTTTTAACATCTGTTGCTTTCAGTCCTGTTAAATTTTGCCACTCCTCCTGGGGTGAGATGGTATCTCATTGTGATTTTGATTTGCATCTCTCTTATTGCCAGTGATTTTGAGCATTTCTTCATGTTTCTGTTGGCCATCCAAATAACTTTCTCTCTAAAAAGTCTTTGCATGACTTTTGCCCATTTTGTTATTGGATTATCAGTCTTTTTCTTATTGAGGCTGTGTAGTATTCTACAAATTTTTATTTTGAGACCCTTGTAAGAGATATTTTGCCAGATGTTTTTTCCAAGTGAGTAAATTTTCTTTTCATCCATTGGAAATAGTTTTTGATGCACTGGGATTTAATTTTTAGAAATTCCAATTCATCAATTTTATGTTCTCCTGGCTGCAAATTTCTGGCTGAATTTGTCAGCTTCTTTATACCATAGTCTAGGCCTTCTAAGCTTGGTCTCTTATGATCTTTCTGGCTTTGGGCTTTACCCCTAGATCTGTGATCCAGCTTGGGTTGATTTTTTAATATAGTGTGAGATGTGTATCCTGTTTCAGCTTTCTGCAGGTAGCAGTCCAGTTTTGCCAGCACTATTTATTGACGAGGTTGTCATTACCCCATAAGATAGGTTTTATTACTTGTCAAATATCAGTTGACCAAAGATTGTTGTTGTTATGTTCTTTCGAGTATCTTGCGACTCATAATGATCCTGTATACAGCAGCTCTGACCCTGCTCTATCCTGAGCCATTATCCATATCTTTGACACATCTATCCCCATTACATTAGTCATTGAATCAATCCACTCCATCCAAGGTCTTCCTCTCCTGTGCTGTCGCTCCACCCTTCCTAGCATGATATCCCTCTCCAAGAACTGCTCCCTCCTTCCAGCATGCCCAGTATATGCCAAACAGAGCTTCAGAATCCTTGCCTCCAAGGAGCATCCTCGTTTTACCTTCTTCAGGAAGAACCTGTTTATTCTCCTTATAGTCCATGGTATATTCAGTACTCTTCTCCAGCACCACAGCTCAAAGCTATCAGTTCTCCTTATATCATCCCTAGTCATTGTCCAGCTTTTTGATGCATAGCAAGTAATTGTCAAGACCATGGCCTGGATCAGGCATATCTTATCCTCCACACTGACTCATTACTCTTTAATACTTCAGAGAGTTCCCTGATAGCAGATTTTTCAAATGCAATTTGTCATTTGATTTCCTTCCTGCTGGTACCAAAAGTGTTGACTGTGGAGCCAAGCAAACTGAAGCTGTTAACAATCTCAATCTTTTCACCATCTATCATGATACTGCCAATCAGCCCAGTGGCAATAATCTCTGTTTCGTTGATGTTGAGCTTCAGTCCAAAGATAATATGGGTTATTTTCTGGGTTCTCAAGTCTGTTCCATTGGTCTATGTGTCTGTCATTGTACCAGTACCATGCTGTTTTGATTATTAAACAGCTGTATAGTAGGTTTTGAGATAAAGAAGTGCTATGCCTCTCACTTCATTTTTGTTTTTCAGAAGTGCTTTGCTTATACATGGTCTCTTTCTTCTCGAAATAAACTTGTCAGTTGCCTTTTCAATCACCTTGAGAAAGGAATTTGATATCTGTATTGCAATTGCAATAAACATGTAGATTGATTTTGGTGGGATTGGCATTTTGAAAGTAACTGAGTCTTCCTATCCATGATCAGGGAACATTTTTCTATTTATTTAGGTCTTTTACTTTTTATCACAGAAGTGTTCTGCAGGGGTGTTTTTTGGTTGGTCTTTTGTGTCTCTAGTTAAATTTGTTCCTAAGTGTGTCAGTTTGTAGTTGGCTATTGAAAATAATATTGCTTCCTTGTCTTACTTCTCTGTTTTCTTTGCTCTTGTAGAGGAATCCTACTGACTTTTCTCTATTGACCTTGTATCCTGCCACCCTATGAAATTGATTACCTAGCTCTAACAGATTTTTTAATTGAGTCCTTGTGTACAATATCATATCATCTTCATATGTTGAGAGTTTTACCACCTCTTTTTCTGATCTGGATGCCTTTTATTTCCTTCTCTTATTTTATTGCCCTAGCAAGTACTTCCAGTACAGTGTTGAATAGGAGTGGTGAAAGTGGGCATCCTTGTCTGGTTCCTGTTTTCTCAGGGAGAATGACTTTAATTTTTCTACACTGGGGATCATGTTGGCTCTAAGATACTCATATATTCTTTTCACACAAGTTGAGAAAGTTTCCTGAGTATTTTAATCAGAAAGGGTCAGATTTTGTCAAAAGCCTTTTCTGTATCAGCTATATGGTTCTTATCCTCTGCTTTTCCAATGTGATAAATTTTGTTGATTGTTTTTCTTATGGTTAACATAGAGATTGAAAAGGTTATGGAGACAGGACACATCCCTGACACACTGCAAGTTTTCCATGGGTATAATCAATTGTTCTGGGATTTCCATTCTTCTCAAGTTTAGCCACAATTTGTTGCAATCCAAACAGTTAAATATCTTTGTAAAATCAGTGAATATAGACATCCTCTTTGCTTTTGGCCAAGATCCATTGGACTTTGACAATAATTTTCTAGTGCCACAACCACTTCTAAATTCAGCTTGTATTTCTGGTAGATTTTTATCAATATACTGGTCCAGTATTTTTGGATGATCTTCAGTAGGATTTTACTTGTGTGTAATATTAGTGATATTTTTCAATAATTTTTACACTCTGTTGGGTTACCCTTTTTTTTGAATGGTAATAAATATGGACCTCTTCTAGTCAGTTGGAAGAATAGTTGTTTCTAGCTTTTATGACACAACCTGGTGAGTATGTTCAAGGATGCATGTATTTATTGAAATATGTCAATCATATTCCATCAATTCCTGGGACCTTGTTATTTTGCCAAGTCCTTCAGAGCAGCTTGAACTTCCTCCTTCATCACCATTGCCTATTAAACATATTTCATGAAATTCTTTGTTGTTGTTGTTGTTGTGTGCCATGAAGCCTGTCCTGTCCTGAGCCAGTCCCATTGACTCCAGTGCACCTACCCCATTGCCCTAATTACTGTATCAATACATCTCATTTAGAATCTTCTCTCCTGCGCTGTTCCTCCACTTTTCCAGAGCATGGTGTCCTTCTCTAAGGATTGGTCCCTCCTGGCCACATATCCAAAGTATGCGAGATGGTACTTAAAAATCCTAGCTTCCAAGGAGAAACTTGGTTTCACCCTCTCCAAGACAGACCTGTTTGTTTTCTTGGCAGACCATTGTATGTTCAAGACTCTTCTCCAGCACCACAACTCAAATGCATCAACTCTTCTGTGATCTTTAGTCCTTTTCCAGCATTGTTCATAGCATATAATTGCAATGAATATGGATTAGATCCTTAGTCTTGTACTAATATCGTTGCTTCTCTGGAAAAGTCCCTGACAGCCAATTTACCTAATGCAGTTAATCTTTTGATTTCCCGACTTCTGGTGCCAAGAGTGTTGATTGTGGAGCCAAGCAAGCTGTAATTGTTAACAAGCTCAGTTCCTTCTCTTTCTATCATGGTGCTTCATGTCCTCCTCAGTTTCAGCAAGCAAGGTTGTGTCATCTGCATAAGGTAGGTTGTTGATGTGTCTTCCTCAAATCCTGATGCCACATTCCTTCTCATAAAGCCCAGCCTCCCAAATGATCTGTTCGGCACACAGACTGAAAAAGTATGGAGACAAGATGTATCCCTGACTCACTCCTTTCCTGATTTTAAACCATGCAGTGTTTCCCTCCTCTGTTCTGAGAACTCCTTCCTGGTCCAAGTATAGGTTTCACATAAGTAAAATCTGGTGTACTGAGTGTCCCATTTTTCTCAGGTTAACCACAGTTTAT